TTTATCTTTTCATTCTCTTGTTTCACCTACAGCGTTTTTTTAATCATCTTAGAGCCAAATGCTGCTATGTACTTTTCAAATACGGTAAGGGGTAAGAAAGAAAAAAGAGCAGCAACCTTAGTTCAGACTTTTTTGTAAACTGAGCGTAGAACACCATAAAAAGTTTCTTCTTTTCTTTATTATCTGTTAATGCTACCCAGAAAAATTGGTTACACAAATGAATTTGGATAGATTAGCATTGTGCGTTGATGGTTTCAGATGCGCAGTAGCATTAACGTTGCCGAAATTCGACCAAATAGTGTCCGTGACGAAGCCTTGATGATGTCATCGTCGAATCCACCGGTAGAGGTCAAAGTTCGAACACGCCCTGAAATCCCACCAAAACCACAGTTTGATGCGATCCGATATAGTATGGCAAATGTTCAAGGTCAGCAGTGCACCCCTCTCGACGTTCATTTTGAACTTATTTTGTTTTACACAGACCCACCAGCATTTTTCAGTCTTAGTTTATTTGTGTTTTTTCTAAACGTACTTTGGTGGGTGAAGGGGAAAAAAACGAACTGACAAACGAACGGAATTCTGCTGGAAAATTTGGCCTATTCCTTCCTGAACTAATTGATTACTGTCTTAAAATTCATTACTACTGCAGTGTTTTTGTTTGATAATTAGCACATCTGTGTGACTTTTACAATTAAATCCAGTAATTAGACTGTTCGTAAAAACAGCTTAATTTGGCCTTCATCTAATTTGCTCAGAAAAAAAAAATGAAAGGTATTGTTTTATAGAAAAAACACATTTTTTTCTTATTTCTCTCCTTCTCTAATTATAATCTATTTAAAATTTACCTCTATTTTCAGCAGTTTTTTGCCATTAACCACTTTTTTAGATATCTGGAAAGATTTTGGCATTATTTTTTCTTTTACGTTTATCTTACTGTCAGAGATATTCTGTTTTGGCAGTCATCATGTGCACAGATGAATTTTCTTTTCATTGGACATTAGGATCTTCTTCAGTTTCCCCCCTTTTTCGCTATACTGCCACTGAAAATATAAAAAACACTGAGATAACTGGGATGCTTGAAAACGTTTCAAATTTCTACGCTTTTACAGTAACTGGTCTGATGTAACTGTCACTGCGGTAGGATACTGTGACTCAAATTACGTTTACTGAAGCTCTTTTTGACATTTTTTGATCTACTGTATTTCTTTGCTATACAGGTGGATAACTGTTTTAAACATGGTAGGGGTATACTGACTGCAGCTTGATATTTACTTGGAGAAAATAAGGAAGGGGAGGGAAAGGATAAAGAACATAAACAAAATGAACTGAATCGTAGTAAACTGTTTGGATACTGCAATTTTGGAGTGCATATCGCAGCTGTTAGACATATGCTCACTTTTTTTGAGGCTTAGCAAAATTAATGTATTTCGTGTAAACGGCTCTTTAGCTCATCTCTTTTTTTCCTCTTGGACGGGTAGCGGAAGTTGCGATGTTGGTTTTGCTTCTTTTTGGTGTATTTATACAATTACTTAGAAGTCTGTGCACTATCATACAAATAATGTGAGGAAGGGGGATAGAGAGAGATAGCGAGAGGGGAAGAAAAAAAAAGGAGAAAGAACCTCGTCGTTCCTAATAAATGGCGCAGGGAACATCTGATACATCTTCACAAGTTTCAATGTGATACTTACAAGAAAAATGTGCTTTTGATGGATGAATAAGTTTAGATAGCGGCGATTTTGAACTGGACAATTTGTTAAACGAACTCTCAGCATTGCAACATCAGCTTGACTCATCGGCATCTGATCAACTTCTGTTGGGATTACCGACATTACCTGTGCAGGAAGCTAAGCCGGCAGATTCACATATCACCAGGGCAGCAGATGTATATGTTTCACATCCAACACCAAATACATCATACGAAGCTAACAAAGGGTTTGTCTGTGTATTTATTTATTTAATTGATGGGCTTCATTAGTTACAAATATATCTGCAAATCGTTATTAAAAGGAGACGGTTTTTTATCCTTTGTTAGAAAAAAAGAAAATGAAATTATTTTCTCTTTG